AAAGTAGATTATTTGACAACATATAATATATATATATAATTTATTGAACTTAAACATGTTCATGAACTTGAACTGAACTAAAACTTTGAGTTCAGGTTCAGTTCAAGTTCATAAATTTAAAGTTTAGTTCAGGTTTAGGTTCAAAGATTTGCAAAATTTAAAGTTTAGTTCAGATTCAATTGAACTTGAACCTGAATCTAAATTGAATTGAACTGAACTTTGGAATACTACTGGTGGGTATCTTTACTATACTTATTGTTTTTTGTTTTTTTTGTTTGTGAGCCATGTTACTAACACCTTTCTTTTTTTTTAGTGATTTCGCTTGTCTTTTCTGAAATTGATTTCAAATCTGGTGGGTATCTTTATTGTACTAATTGGTTTTTTTTTGTGACTATGTTACTAATGTCCTTTGCTTTTTTTTTAGTGATTTCGCTTGTCTATTCACTATTCTTTCAGAATTGGCTTCAGATTTGGTGGATATCTTTCTGAACTTATTGTTTTTTGTTTTTTTTGTTTGTGAGCTATATTACTAATGTCTTTCTCTTTTTTTTGGTAGTTTTGCTTGTCTATTCACTGTTTTCCAAAATTGGCTTCAGATCTGGTAGGTATTTTAACTGTACTTGCTGTTTTTTGTTTTTTTGTTTGTAAGCCATGCTACTAACGCTATTCTTTTTTTTAGGTAGTTTCACTTGTCTCTTCGCTATTCTTTCAGAATTGGCTTCGGATCTGGTAAGTATCTTTATTGTGCTTATTAGTTTTTTTTTTTTGTGACTATATTACTAACACCAACATAGCGAACATTTGATTTGATTGGCTTGAAGATCATTAGATTATACAATATAAAAAAAAATTTTAAAGTAACTCTTATTATGAAAAACCATATTGTCAATTGGCAACTCATAGTTTTGCATAATAAAATTTTTTTTATAACATATTATAGTATTCTTTAACTCTTTATATGTCTTTGGAAAAAAAGATCAGTATCCTTAAAAACTTTATTTAGAAGGCAAATTTAAGCAAATATAATAGTAATATAGTATATAACGAATAGGTAGTAACCTTTTTTTTGCTTTCAAACTCAACGCCTTTTCTATTGATCTAAGAAACTAATGTAGTAATACTTATATTCAGAACATTCCACCTGTTCTTTATTTTACACTGCTTAATTTATTATTATTAAAGTGTAATAACCTTATTTATTCTAATTAATATTTTAGGTTAAAAATCTGGGAGCAAATCTGCAATTGCAATTTATAGAATAACCAAGAACCCAAAATATAGTAACTACAGGATGGTTATAGAGTACGCAAAGCAGAGAAGTCTTAGAAAATTGTTAATAGTAAATATGGTGAATTAAATTGGGCTTTTAAAGTGGCTAATTTATATTACATAGCTAGAGGGCTTAATACAATTTATAAAGCCGATTTAGTACATATTTTCATTCTGGCAATATAGTTAATCATTCTTACATTACTTATATAAGCTAATATTACAAGACTCAAATTCTAAAGAACTTTTTGGTGTACTTCCATATTTTGCTTCTAAAGTATTATACACAAATAGCAAGGAATACACTCAAAAATCAGATATTTATTCTTTTAGAATAATTATATTGGAAGTTTTTACTGGATATTCTTCAAATTATAATATTCTATATAACAAAGATCTACAACACATATTTGTCTTGGTTATAGACCCAAAATTAGATGCGAAGCTCTTCAATTACTTTTGAATCTGATGAATAGATGTTTAGATGCCAAACCTCAAAATCAACCAACTACTAAAGTACTGTATCAGCTAATATGCTGAATAGTTTTTTTGATGATTTGAGAATAAAAAAACTGAATTATATAAGCAAGTTAAAAATATTAAAGATTTAGACAAAATTTTTTGACATGTAATCAAGTCAAATCTGCACGATTTAAATATTAGACATATCCATAAACTATTTATACAAGTTGATCTTTGAATCTTTTAAAACTCACTAAACTAGGTAATAGCATTTATTTATATTTTAAAATTAGTCATATTAACTGTATATAAGCTCTAAATGCTAAAAACAGCCAGCAAAAAAAAAGAAGATTGAGACATTACGTATAAGATCTAAACCTAAAGAACTTTATTATACTGTTTAATATGCTATTATAATAAAAAGCTTATACTAATGCTCTTATTTTATATATTCTAAATATTATAGAGTCAAAATATTCGTAACTTTAGGTTAAGTAGTAGGTTGATAATATATACAGTATATGAGTATTATTGTTTTATTAATTATATAGGCTAGAGGTCATATTGTATCTCTAATAAAAGTTATGAAATAAAATAAAATTGAATTACTTTGATTTTTTCAAAGGATAGTAAATAAAAAACAAAGATAGTTTTGCTAATAATTTATTCACATATTAAATATTATATTCATTCTACTTTATGCATATCTATCTGTTTTCTAACTTATGTAATAAATTCTTGTATATAATTATTGGTTTGTAAACTTCTTTAAGAGAAGCTTTCTTTGTTTTCTAGTATTAAAATTTTATAAATGTTTTAAAAAAATTCAGTAATTTGATTGGTTAATTATCATAGGTATTCATAGATAGATTGAATATCTACATTATACATTTTTGTTTACATTTTTTAACCAATCAAATCGAATGTCTGCTATGCTACTAACACCATTCTCTTTTTTTTAGTGGTTTCACTTGTCTCTTTGATCTTTTTCTGAAATTGGCTTCAGATTTGGTGGGTATCTTTACTGTAATTATTGTTTTTTGTTTTTTTGTCTTTTTTTGTTTGTGAACCATATTACTAACCTAATTTTATATTTTCTAGTTGATATCTTTTTTTTTCTTCTATTGTTCTGAATTCGTCATTGGTATTATTAATAGATTCATTGCTTTTTTTTTTGCTTTTTTTTTTTTTTTTTTTTAAAGCATGTATATAAATATTCGTATTATATCATAGTAATTGTAATATATAATTATTATATAATAAACAATATTTGGCAATTATATTGTAATTTTTATAACTATAGATAATTTTAATTGATTCTGATCCACTTTGCGAGAAAATTAAAATTAGTTTAACTTATTTTAGAATTGAAATTAAGTCTATCCCATAATAGTATTATATAATATTCTAAATTGTTCTATGTAGAGAATTACTCTGTTTTATTAAGTTATTTGCAATAATAGAGTCTATTATAAATCGTGTATATTGTATTTTAAAATATTTTAAAATATTTCGAAATATTACATAATATTTCAAAATATTTCAAACTTTTTTTGTTATTATCTTTTGCAGTTTTTTGCAATATTTTTTGCAATATTTCAAAATTTTTATCAAAATTTTTTAAAATTATTTTTTTGAAATATTTTGTATCAATCACAATAATTTTGAAATATTTCAGTACTGCAAATTCTTTCACAATATTTCATATTTATTTTTGCTGATATATATACAAGAATAAAAGCTCAGACTACTTTATTTGCGATCTAAACCTATTAGGTAGTCAAAAACTTACCTAGATTTGTTTTAAAAAAGTAAATATAGTATAAATAAAGTATTTATTTAAATAAATTTAAAGTAAGGCTAAACTATTAAATTTGTATATTTAATAATATAAGATTATAAAATATAGTGAAAAATATTAGACTATAAATTTATAAAGTATAAAAAGAATAATAGAGTATATCATGGTATATTAATTTTTTTTTTCAGTGTTAAGGTAAGGTCTTGTTTCGTAATTCTTTATTATCACAATAGTTCTGTTATATATTTAATTACAGTATATCTTTTAATTACTAACTATTATATTACAGGTATATAGGCTCAGACTAATTAATTTGTGATCTAAATCTACCAGAATTTTCAGTTGTTCTTCACTCACTTACTAACCTGGTTTTTGTGTTTTCTAACTAGCTATATTCAACTACTGTATATTTCTCCATGTCTTACAACCTGTATTAATAACTTCCAAATTGGTTCTATCGAGTATTCACTCCTTATGAGCTCTTAATTAGATATACCAAAGGTTGGCCTTTTAGCCTGTATCTTAAACCAGAACCCTGCTACCTAGTTAGGTTTTTACATGATGAAGTTGGTATTTCATTATCAGATAATCTCTCTTACTTATTCATCCAGATACTACTAATCTATATCTCAAGCCAGTAGGGTTCTTCAAAATCAAATCAAATCAAATATTAGACTTATTTGAATTTGATTTAATTTAAAAATCTGGATTTGAATTTGATTTGATTTAACAGATCTGGATTTGAATTTGATTTAATTATTTGATTTTAAATCTTCAAATCAAATTAAAGTTTTAGCTATTTATAAATATCTTTAATTTTTTTAAAATTTTATTAAGTAAATTGATTTTGTATATTAAATAAAATATATTCTTTTAATCAAAATAACCCTAGTTTCATAAAACTAAATTAGTGATTATTTTAATAAAATTTTGAAAAATAGCCTCTAAAACTATAACTCCTTAAATTTATTTAAATTTTAGCTGTTTATAAATATCTTTGATTTTCTTAAAATTTTATTAAGTAAATCGATTTTGTATATTAAATAAAATATATTTTTCTAATTAAAATAGTTCTAGTTTCATACATTACGAGACAGTAAAAGACATCTAATCTATACAGAGAGGTGTCAAATTTTGATGTTTATAATCAATTCTGATTGGCTACTTTATGTGTAATTAATTCTGATTGGCTAAAATTATATATATGTTTTCTTTTTTTCTATATTAAACGCCAATTTTTTAAACTTATATAAACTTTAATCCTTTATAATTTTTTCAAAACAAAGAATAAAAAAAAATTCTTTGACAAAAATGTAGTTTATCTAAAAATCTATCAATTTGTTAGAGGGTTTTTGACTTAGCTTGTTTTTAAAAAGTTATAATACTTTAAAGTTTTTACTAATAAATATTAGATGCATTTGACTATGCCAGGGCGTAGGATCAATTTTACTGTCACGTAATCTCTGATCTAATGATCCGATGATCTGGTAATTTGATGATCCAATGATCCACCTGCTATATCGCACGTGTAATTTTGTACTACAAATCAAATTTTATCGATCACAATAGCAAATTTGTCATCAAGAATAATGAACTTTGAAATATTATTGTGAACCAAATATTTTACATTAAAAGTTTTTTAGTGTTCTATTCAATAGATTCTACAATAGAAATATTTTACTTTTTTTCAGATTTAAAAAACTATATACATAAATTTTTTTATGATTTTAACAAGTTTTACTAAAGTTTTTACGAAGATATGAAATAAATTTAGCTAAGTATTTTTTTTTTTTTAAAACAAAATTCTTGCTTTTATTTAATATAGAAGGTACTCAAAATACAATAATAATCTTTTATATTATGTTAGATATTGTTATTACTTAAAAATAAGGTCCAAGATTTGGAATCACTCTATGTTGTACATTATCTTCTATGGCTTTTCGCCTTTTCTATATCTGAGAGGATAGTAAAAGCATGGTTTAAATTATTTATGATAGATTCTATATGTTGCAAATTATTTGCTGTTAATTCTATATTAATGTGATCAACCAAACATTGTAATGCCGCTGCTTTAGACTCAAGAATCTGGCATTTATTAGTAAGGGTTTCATGATCTTCATCTATATTATAGTATTCTATAGTATTAACCTGATCATACGTTCTAATAGTTTCTATATTTTTAGATACGTTTTGTGTTTTACTTCTATTCCATATCAAAAAAGGATAATCAGATTGTCATTTGAAATTAGAATATATCAATCTGATACTCTCAGGATTATTTGTACTTTCTAATACTTTATGAATTAAATGTTTACAGATAAAAAAATGATTGTTAAGAAACAATGGGCAACTACAAATCTAGCAATCTAAATCAATAAAATATGAATTATCATGATTTAATAATTTGGTAAGAAGGTTTCTCCATTGTCTTTTAAATTTATCAAAACATGCTGGTTCTATTTTACCAGTTGCTAATTGCTAAAATCGATCAACCTGATCAGGTATAACATGTGAAGAAATAATCCAAATTAGATAGTCAAGCCATGGATGGTTAAGATGTGAAAGGTAATAGTTTTTTAGAACCATCTAATATGCTTTGATCATATTGTTAGTTTTACTAAGTGGTATAGTTGTTTGGGTAGAATGTGCTCAAAGGCATCATCTTATAGGTTTGTACTAGGAGGACTATAAATAGGATCATAACATTACAAGATCATTTTTAAAACAAAATTCATATATCTCAAAAACTGCTTTTGTTCTTATTTCGGTAGAAGATAAAAATTGTCTGTAATAATTGATAGGAATCTTAGAATGCATATTAGTATAGTTTTTAATTATTTTAATAATAGTAGCATAAAGCTTAGGAGAGCAAACAATATCATACTTATAATCTGTACGTTGTAGATCTGGAATAAAAAAAGGATCAATAAAGGTAAATTCTTTTATAACCTCTTCATAATTATAATTTATACGTTCGATTTTTTTACGACTTTTAAGCTTATTTTTGATCACTTTTTCTAAATGCTATAGGCAAAATTGTATATCAATTAAGGGCCATACATTTTTAGTAGCTATTATTTTAGTGAAATCTTTATTAGAGTAAAAGAAAGTTGGATTTAAACCCTTATTACGAAGAGTATGAAAAAAATCCTGTAAGTGCTTCAGTTCATAATCTATCTTGGCTTTCATTTTTAGAGGCCTTTGTCATATCTAAAATAAGGTATGCTAATGCAAAACCTACATCTTGAACATTACCAACAACCCCATAAAGCTCGAATCACTCTTTGGAGATTTTATATGTGGCATCGCAGTGTATTTCTGTGTAATTAGATTTATCAAGTAGGCATGTTGTGAAACCAATGACTGTTATATTATTCGTATCAAGATGAAAACATAGGGTACAATAATTATTAATTTGTTTGGTAAAAAACATATATGCTGAGGCAATATGATTTTCATCGCTTTTGTAGAATTGCTCTGTAAAATAGGACCACCAGTAATGAATTTGCTTGGATGTGATATTGGATATATTAAATTTTTTTCAGAGGTGTTGTTTTAATTCGACAGGATTCAAATGTAAATGTTTACTAATTTCTTGTTTCACTTCAGATAGTATTTTAATTTATTATACAAAATTTTATATTTTAATGTTATCTTTGCTTCTGCTGCTGACATATCAATTTTAATTGATATCTTGCCACTACAATTATAACAAGAAATTCTTTTTTGGTTTGAATCTTTAAATTCACGTTCAAGCTCAGAACTTTGGGAGCAAGCAAAGTAAACATTTCTGATACCATGATGATAAACTGAAAGGTTAGATGCAGTCGTGGCTCTATATTTATAGATATGTTAATTAATTAGTATATAATTAAATATATACTGTATGCTGTAATACTAAAAAACAATTTTAATTTTTTAAAAATTGTAATTTAGACAGCAACTATAGTTAAACAATATAAACTAGGTATATATTTATTACATATGTCCAGTTGTAACCATCTCTATCTTTTATTTTATCAATTATTAATTTCACCATAGCTTTGATATTTATATCAGTATCACTTATTATGGTTTCATCAAGCCGAATATGAAAGACAAGAGAAAGTTTAACACAATCTTCTAAGTCGTCAATTAAATTCATAATATATTGACTAACTTCTTGTATAGAAATTATTTTGATAGAATTATTTTCAATACTGGAGCTACTAACTGATTCATTCTTTTTTTCAGTTCTTGTGAATCTACATTTATTACAAGTTTTGTAATTGCCACCATTGAGTGTAAATTCTTCAGAGAAACGAATAGATTCGCAAGTACTATACGTTGGTATTAGGGAAAGTATTTATTTTATTAAATTGCAATCGATTTATAAACAAAAGGATAATTTTATTACTGATTATTTTTGAATATAATATCAATAATAATCGCTAGCGATTTTATTAATATTACTATATTAAATTAATTGTAAGTATTAAATAATTTAATAACTTTTTGTGTTAATTAATCAATAATAATATTATTTTATAATAAGCATTGGTTTTGTATATCAAATTTATTAAAGAGATAAAAGCTTTTTGGTAGCAAACTAAATATCAAGGTAATAGTTTAAATACTTTTAAACCTTCAGTTTAATTATATTATTTAGTGATTTATTTGATTTATTTGTAGATATAAATCAGAGATGCTAAATTCGCATGAATGATAAAATAAATATTTGGATCAAAGATGTTTGAACTAATATATGTATGGAAAGGTAATTTACTTATTTGAATATTGAACTGGAAAGCCCAAAATAATTATGAAGCATTTGGTGTATATCAGGAAAATTTAAAACCTAATTATAATCGGTTGTTTTAAATGATTATTATTGGTAGGATGATAGTAATCAATTTATATCAAAATTATTTATAATCAAAATATATAAAATCAATTAAAAAGGATTAAATTATATATATATCGATTATAATCGTTAGATTTTAATCAGTTATAATCAGGTTTCAGAATTTTCTGATAGATACCAATTAATATATGCTGAGTTATAGATAGATTAGCAAATCGATATTTTATTGCATAAAATATAAATATTAAAAAATCGATTCATGTATGCTATAATTCTTTTTCAGCAATTTCGTAATAAATGTTTAATTAATTAAATAAAAATTTAAATCTAATCTCTTTTACTATATTATGCTAATTGCTTTTTTAAATATTAATATTTCACTGTATTTGTTAATTTGTTTATAGATACGAATATTTTATACAATTATTTAATTCATTTGAATATCGAACCTGAGATAGTTAATTGCTATGAGAATGAGTAATTATTTAACTGTCAAATTCGAATGTGAATTATTAATTAAACATGGACTAAAATTGGTCAAAATATGAATATTATAAATATTTAATTTGTATTATTTTATATCTTAAATCTTAATAATTTGATTATTAATATGAATCACTTGAATTAGTTATATTGTTTCAAAAATTGGTTTTAGTTGATTATATTTTAAAGTGAAATCTAATCAATTTTAATCTTCAATGCAAAAAAAAATTTATTTTAATGCATATATGGGGTGTTATCTATTAAAACAGCCCTTTTTTACATAAATTTTATTTTGAGATAATTGAGTTTAATCA